AAAAAAAAATGATAATAATAATAATAATAAATGCAGTCATAGAGTTCGATTAATTTCTCTTCCAGTAGGTGGAGCTGTGCCCACTGGGTCAAGCTTCTCCTCTCAATAGGTGGGAACCAATCACTGTGCAGCAGCTCTTCCTCACAGACTGGGCGGGTCTCCAATCCTGAGTGCCTAGGGCCTTCTCTTGTGTTTCCTCAAGCCAGGCCACGCTCACCTGTGACGCTCACCACAATACTGGCTACACGCCAGGTCTGCTGCTCCTGGGAGCCCTGTCGCGCTGGTTTCAATGCAGTTATCTCCTCCGCCCGTGACGTCAGTTCTCTGCCAAGGAGGTATCCCATGCAAATGGTGACCGTTCGTTCCCTTTGCCGGGTGACCAATGCAACGGGTGGGTCCTGACTGTCTCTCCCAATCCCCGTTTCAATCCTGTGGCCACTGCCTATGAAGGCTCGGTTGGTTTTTACCTCTGAAAGTTCCTAAGGGCCAACCAGTTATTTCAGCGGGATCGTTAGTGCTGAGTCATGAGAAGCAGGCGAACTGGAGCTTGGATGCAGCCGATCCGGGCTCGGTGTGTGTGTTCTGAGGGGCCCAGACTGTACACCCCAGATCCACATCAGCTCAGCACTGCCTAGTGATCCTGAGCAAACAGCATTTAGACAATTTACAGCTCCCTATGCCCGCGCAGTTGAAGAGGTCAGAGACTTGATCTCTCCCCACCCGCTGCCATGTTAGATCTCCTCAATGATATTCATGTTGCGCTTACAGCTTCCTGGCATAAGCAAGTTCTTGGGATTATACAAACTGCTGCTTCTGTTTCCAGTCCAGATTTCTAGAAATTAAACCCTGCCGCCGTCGCCTCTTCCCTGGGGCCACGCTCAGGGGGCGCCGCGCTCGTCCGCGACCGTAGCTGCGTCCCGCTCGGTGCCCGGCCCCCGGGGCCCAAGCGGCTGCCGCCGTGGCTCTCAGGCCCCCTCCTCTGGAGCACGGGTCCCCTCGCAGGGGGATGCAGAACGACCCCAGAGCACCTCTGCCCAAAGGTGCAGAGGCAAACAGGCGACCCAGGCGCTCAAGGCCGCGGTCCAGCCTTCGGAGGACAGGGCTCGGCACGCAGCCCAGCTCCAACCTCTAGGTGCGGCTGCCGGACAGTGTAGACATAGCCATCAAGACAGCCGGCAGAAAGCAAATGGCGGCTCCCGCGGAGTGGATTTTCAGCACAGAAACCGCAGCCCAGCCAACAATCCCAATCCACAAACTCTCCCTGTATAAAAAATATTAAAAAAAAAAAAAGGCGGGGTGCAGTGAGCTTTCTTCACCTCAGGTACTTACAATACACTGCTGATTACACATTCAGCTTCTCTGCCTGGAGCGAAGCGAAAGAGGAAGCTGATGGGAGCAAAGCACCCGCGGCTCTGAGCGGCAAAACATCTGGGAGCCAAGCATTTCTTTTTCGATCTCTTTGTTCTTCCTGCTGCTTGGCAAAGTGGTCCTCTACAGATTAACGGTGAAAGGAGCTCTTACACGCTGCGCGAAATCTCGATTAAAGCCGCTGCTCTGAGCACCACGCTCAGCACTTCAGCAACCCCCGTGCGCAGCGGCCATCTTCCCGCTGTGAGGAATTCTGAGCGCTTGGGTCATAATTGACCCCAGCAATGCTGGAGGACGTTCGGGGCAGAGAAGTGGATGGTGATGGACGCGGTTTTCGGAGCTGGTCCGATGGATCACTGAAGTGGCGGCGATGTCGTCCTGGTTTGGAGGCCTGGGCTCAGGCTTGGGCCACTTCTTGGGTCAAGTGGGGAGCAGCTTGGCTTCCCTCACTGGCCATATCTCCAGCTTCACCAGGGAAATACTTCTGGATGACTTAGGAGACATAGAAGCAGCTTTACATCATTGTTGGAGAAAGGAAATGGAAACTACTGATTCCACAATAAGATGTGAGAATGAAAGACTGAAAAAGTATTGTACTGATCTGGAAGAAAAGCATGAAGCATCAGAGCTGCAAATAAAGCATCAGTTTGTAAGTTACCAAAATCAACTGCAACAGAAAGAGGGAGAGATCAGCCATCTTAAAGCAAGACAGATTGTACTGCAAGATCAAATGTTCCAACTACAGGCAGCTGCTCAATCAGTACCTTCAGGAGCTGGTGGTGTACCAACCACCACTGCACCTGCTCCATTCGGTTCCTGGATCAGTAGTCATTTTTCAGCCTTTCGTGATGATGACATGGACTTTAGTGACATAATTTCATCACAACAAGAAACAAACAGATCGTCAATTGACATTGCAAAACATGAATCTGAAGTTGGTCACTGGAGGCAGATTGCTGAGGCTCAGGGAACACATCATTCTGACTCAAGTGAAATCTGCAAAGTACAAAATACTATCAAGACTCTTCAACCAAACCAAAGTCCGTACATAGATGATCATCAGCATGAAATTTCAGTTTTGGAGCAGAGTTCTACTGTGGCAGAAAAGGGAAAAATTCTTCCTCAGAGTTCAGCAGTGGAAGAAGTGTTCAGGCTACAACAAGCCCTGGCTGATGCTGAGAAGGAAATCATGAGACTAAATGGTTTAAACCAGGATAACCGTCTTGCTGAAGACAATCTGAAACTTAAAATGCATGTTGAAGCTTTAGAAAAAGAGAAGTCATCATTGAGTCAAGAAAAAGAGGAACTTCAGATGTCACTGTCAAAATTGAGCTGTGACTATCAAGTCATGAAAAACAGAGCTTCAACAGACATGAATTTGAATGTACAATTACTAGACTTAAAACTTCACTTGAAGGCAAAGGAGGAAGAACTGAATCAGAATATCAATGAAAAGAAACTGCTGATAACTGTTAGAAGAACTGGATCATCAGAATCAGGAAGCTAAAAAGCACATGATTTTGATACAAGATGAGCTATCAAAACAACAAAATGAAGGAGACCTTGTCATCAAGAAGTTGGAACAAGAACTAGGTGATGAAAAACAGAGAGTTCATCAACTTGAGGATGATCAAATGAACATATCCCAAGAGTTGCATGTGCAGAAGGAGAAGTTAACTGGGAGTGCACAGAGCCTCAGTGATTTGCATTTAACCAAGCAGAAGCTTGAAGATAAAGTAGAAGATTTAGTAGATCAGCTAAATCAGTCACAAAAAAATAGTTTAAACATCCAGCAGGAAAACCTTGGGCTTAAGGATCACATTAGACAAATTGAAGATGAGCTGTCTGGATTTAAGTGTAAGTACAGAAGTTCTCTGAATGAAGACTCTAACAGTCATTGTAAGGATGATATGCTTAAAGAATGGGAAGCTGAGGTTAGCAACTTAAGGCAAAATCTTTCTGAAGAGGAACAGCTCAATGAAAATTTAAAGAAAGTTGCTGTTGAACTCAAAACGGAAAATGAAATTTTGATTTTAGCATGTGACGATGTAAGGCGTAAGTTGGAAGAATCTACTGCTGCTTACAATCAAATCTCTCAAGAAAAAGACACTATCACGGAGACTCTCAAAAGAGACAAAGAAGAGATTGAAGCCAAACTGCACCAGGCAGAAAAAAGACTGTTGGAAGAAGCAAATAATCACAGGCAGACTATTCAGGAACTCTCCAATGCACAAAATTTGAATACCTCTGCCTTAAAGCAGAAACATGAATGTGTAGTTCAACTCAATCAAGAGAAGGACTTTGAAATAACAGGACTCAAAAAGAATATTGAGCAAATGACTGCTGGTCAAAAATAAACTGAGGAAAATTTGGCATCTTATGTAGAAGAACAGAAGCAATTGATACAAGTCATAAGTGAGAAAGAAGTTTTTATTGAAAAACTCGAAGAAAAAAGTTCAGAACTCCAAAAGGATTTAAATAAGTGTTCGCAGGCCTTAAGAGAAAATGAAACTTTAAGGCAATCCATTGAAGGAAAGGACAGAATTCTTGCCTACATGAAAGCAGAAAACAACTATCTGCAAGTAGAATTGGAAACACTTAGGGAACAGCACAATCAAGCTGTACCAGTGGCTAAGCCTAAAGCTCTTGATGCTATCGCAGAACTAGAATTGGAGGTATCTCAACTGAATATAGTCAAAAATCATCTGGAAGATGAAATTAAAGACCATCTGAATACAATTGAAAATCAAAACAAGCGTAAAATGCAACTACTTCAGTCTTTACAGGAGCAGAAGGAGGAAATGGATGAATTTAAGTACAAATATGAGCAGATGAATGCTGCGCATAGCCAGTTAATTTTAGAAAAAGAGGAGGAAATTAAGAACTTGCAGAAAACTATTGAAGAACTAAAAGCCCAGTTGCCTGGAGAAAGAGGAGATGCTCAAACATTATATTCTGATATTTTTCAAGAGACCAAAGTAAAAATCCTATGAAAAAAAAAAGGTTCATCACTTACGGGACCAAGAATTATGCCTAAACCGGGAGCTAGAAAGGCTATGCAGCCATCTCTTGGAATCAGAAGAGTCTTACACCCAGGAAATTTTGGCTGCAGAAGAAAAAGAGATTCAACTGAGACAGAAAGTCACACTCTTGGAGGAAAAGCTAGTTGCATCTTCTAAGGCAAGTCATCAAGCCAGTGTGCAGATAGAGTCTCTGCAGGAACAGTTGAGTCTGGTCTCTCAACAGAGAGATGAGAATACACTGCAGCTTTTGCTCTCCCAGGAACAAGTAAGGCAGTATGCCCTATCATCAAGTAACCTGCAAAGGGTTCTAGAGCACTTCCAAGAAGAAGAGAAAGCTATGCATTCTGCTGAATTAGCCAAAGAAAAACAGTCGATAGCTGAATGGAAGAACAAGGCTGAAAAGCTAGAAGGAGAAGTATTATCATTGCAGGAACGTTTGGATGAAGCAAATGCTATGTTGGATTCTGCTTCCAGACTGAGAGAAGACTTAGATCTCAAGGAAGAATAGATCCAAGATCTGAAAAAAACAAAACAAGCTCCGAAAAGAAATTTTGGATCATGCACAACAGAAATTGTCCACTTTGGTCAACAGTACAGAAGGAAAAGTGGACAAAGTCTTCATGAGAAACCTTTTTATTGGTCATTTCCAGACACCAAAAGGCAAACGTCGTGAAGTATTGCAGTTGATGGGGAGCATCCTGGACATTCCAAAGGACGAAATGGAGCAGCTGTTGAATAAAGATTATGGTGGTGTCAGTAAGTGGATGAGTAGTTGGCTTGGAGGGGCTTCAAAAAGTGTCCCCAACATTCCTTTGAGACCAAATCAACAACGTGTGCTTAATAGTTCTTTTTCAGAACTCTTTGTCAAATTTCTGGAAACGGAGTCTCATCTCTCTGTCCCACCACCAAAACTTTCTGCCGAAGCCATGGATTGTCTAGACTCACCAGGAAAGAGAGAGCAAGGTGTAAATGTACCAGGAAATGTTAAAGATGGAGCCGAATTAAGAGCTGACAGAAGCACCAACGGAAGTCCACTCTTGGTTCACCGTTCGGCAGCTGTGCCTCTTAGTAACCTAGCTGGTGTTGGACTTGGTGGACCTGGGCATCCTCTTTTTAAACCCATTGCAGATTTCATGCCCACCTTTACACCATTGCCAGTGTCCCCGGACAATAGTGCCACAGTTGTACTCCAGGATCTTCTAAATATTTAGCATTTTAAAGCCATAACACTTTTTGATGTTTTACAGCATGGCCTTTTGAAAAAATACTCATGTATTTGTAGACAAAAAGAGAAAGCAATAAAGCTGGTATATGTAGGTTTATAGATACTAGGTATTTTATTTTATTTTTTGGGTTGTTATGTTTTTTTGCTATAGTTCTTTTTTAAAAATTTGTTTTGTTTGTTATAGCACTTTTTTGTTTATAAAATTTTGTTCCAATGTAGCAGTTAATCATCACCAGTCATCAATCCTGATGTACTTTTGTGAGCAATTGTACAGAGCAGCATTCTTGAACCATTAGTTCCAACCTCTTTTTTTAAAATAATAATATTTGTTAAATTTAATGGCACTAAGATAAAAAATGATAATGTAAATAACAGTAAACAAGAAAAATCCAACCCATAAGAAGGAGGTCTCAGATTTAGAGTACATGAAAACCAAATATAATGTTGCAAAAAGTTGAGAATATTTAGTTTATCCAAGATAATATTGTACAACTACCAAGCGAAAATTCCAATGGGGAGGACCTAAACCTGAAGCTTAGTGGATAAATTCTAAGATGCTTTTAATCCAAATTCTATGACCCCTATCCATTTTGCTTATTTCCATTTCTATACAAAAGTCACTTCACATTAATTCAGTTTTCCAGATGTTAAATATGTCCAGAAGGAAGAGTATTTTTATGAGTCAACCCCGAAGTGGGATCACATGATCCATTGCCAATGGAAAAGTTAATTAGTAAGAATGTATCATTAAATATCTGGACTGTTTATCTACATACTATTGGGGGCTCTACAATAATTCTTATAAACACATTTTATAAAACATTTGATCAAAACAAGTTGGGGAGAGAAATAAGCTAACAACAGTTTTTGAAAGATGAAAAGCTTTAAAATAGGACTAGTTACAACCTTTTGATAAATTAAGGTAAAAGATGAATCAAAAGTTTCTATCTTAAGTAGGTGAAATCAGAGAAGCGAAAAAGCAGATTGCATAGCACATACTTCTCTGACACCTGTAGTTTCTAAAACCACTCAGAACATTTTTATTAAAATTAATTTAAACAAAATTTAATATATTTTTAAATATAAATTATATTATCATTTATTATAAATTAATCTAATTTAAATTTAATTTATTATTAGTATTATTTAAATTTATTTTATTAATACTATGGTTTGATTTAAATTTATTTTATTAATTGATATTGTTTATTAACTTATATTAAATTATAGTATGATTTATATTTAAAAATTCATTAAATTTTATTTAAATTAATACAATTTAACAAAGTAAATTTAACATAATATAGATTGAATTATTTAATATTGACTATATAATTTAATATAAATGTCTATAAAGTTAATTTTAATAAAAATGTTCTTAGTTGTTTTAGAAATTATAGGTGGCAGTGAAGTATTAGATATATTATCTTCTTTTTTCTCCTCTTTGATTTTAACTAACTTAAGCTAGAAACTTTTGGGTTATCTTTTGTTTTACTTTACAAAAATAAAAAAAGTAAGACAAAACACCCAGTAGCTACACACATATCAGCTTTTCCTTTCTTATTTCTAAATTTCACCTTAATATTTACATTATTTTACCAAAATTAAGATGCCATCAGTTGTTAGGCATGAACAAAGTCACTGAAACAACAACTGGAAGACGAATCCCAATCTCAGATTGGCTAAGTATTCAAAACACATAAATGTCTGAGAACTGATGAGCTCTGATAGTAAAGTTTTAAACCTATGGAAAGTTTCCAAATGCTATGGAAAATGAAGACATTTCTCTTTTTGTGTTTTTTAGCTGAGAACCTTCTAAGTACTAAGGTACGTTATCAGAAATTGTATGTAACTCAAGTCTTTAAATTTCTTATTTTTCCTGTACTGTAGACAAAGGGACTCACAATTCCTTGAGCTCTACTAGCATTTTAGTGACAGGAAAAAATTCAATGATGCATAGTTGTTTATTTGCATTCAATGTCTATCAATCTTACATACTTTGGGACGGGTCACAAACCACAGAAAGCATCTGCCTTCTGCTTTATTTTGAAGCTTCCAGCATCAGTTGCAACAATTCTAAAGAACTCTGGGAATACTCTGTGGTACAAAATGCACACTTACTTGTTTTGAAAGCATCCCTAAAACATGAGTCATTAGGTGAATTTCTTGTTCTAAGTAAATTTACTGAATTACTATTAAGTGATAACATATTAAGCCAAAATGAAAGCGCATGCTTCACATCAGAGCAAGGAAGATGTAAGAAGGTATGATGTGTGGTAAAAATGCATGAACATGCAAATATTATCCAGCCTTCTTAAGTCCAATTTTCTCTCTTTTTTATTTATTCATTTTTTGGAGGTTACATTTTTGCATGATATGCATGGAACAACTTTTGGGGGGATACAATCAGAAATTCAGCACTAAAATCTGCCTTCCTGCAACATCACATGGCTTAGTCCTGAGAAGAATATCAAACTATATATTTTGCTTCAACTTGCCAAATTACTTGGAATCTTCTTCCAATAGACTTCACATGGTTGGGAAAAGCAGAGTTCAGATTTGTCAGGAGAAATTTTTATATGTTGTGCTCACCCCATTGTGTCTAGGTGAGCCTTTGGGTTTCAATGCCTGGAAACAGACTTCTTATATATTTCAGAACTGAAGAGATCTTGGAAACAGCGACCTCACTGCATTCTCGAGAAAAATATGTTATATAGGTAGTCAGAAAATTACAAAGATTAATATAGATTCAAGATTTTTTTAAGACAAGGGGTTTAATGGAGAAAACAGCAAGATAGCCTTAGAAGATTTCATACTCTCTGCATTCTTAGAAAAAGCTTCTATATTGTAAACAAGATAAAGCCAAACAGAAGAGTTCCTAAGAAAATATTGTGCTTTCAGTTTCCTTGTCTCATAAATTTTATTAAAGTTTCATTAAAGACCCTGAATTTGCTAGCCTTTTTATTAAATACTTATTTGAGATATTCTATTAATGTCTATCACTGGATTTTATTTGGTCTCACATTAATGTCGCTCCCTGTGACAAAGGGTACATGGGAGGCAGGCAGGATCAGCCTGTCGTCTCAGAGGCATCAGCTGTCGGAACCACGCTCTGGCAGAGGTAGTGAAGCGCACTAGACCAGCTAGTGTCTCCTGGGCTGAGGGAGAGGGTAAGTATCTCAACCTGGCCCACCACACAACCTGGCCCACAATCACACTGAGTCGGGAGATGAGTCAACCAAGAAGGTGCAACAATCTCAATTTTATTGTGTCAGGGACAAGGTTATGTAGTGATAGGAGGCAGTAAGAAGAGACAGTAGGAAGAACGAATAAGGGGCAGTTACGTCACTATCACTATGGGGCCTAGGAAGATTTCAGATTAAACCATTAGGCAGCACTAAAGTCAAAAGCCCATGCAGGGGCTAAAAGCCTGCGAATGCCAATCCAGCCAGGTCATGTACACGGAAATGCTCTGGAAGAACCCATGAGGCCACCTCAGCCACCACCCAATAATGGCCTGGGTCCCAAGAGAGGTAAAAGGTCCCAACAATTAAAATGTGTATACTTTTTATGAGCACAGATGAAATATTATTTGAGATAATTTATTGCAAACCTTTAGCAATTTATGGACATGGAGTGAGTATCAAATGATATAAAAAATGGAGTTTTCTTTCATGTCTATCATAAGTCTTTGTTTCCTCAGTTGCTGGGGAGGAATGTTGGGATGATTTGCTTAGAGTAAGAAATACTAGACTGGACAGAAGGGGCTGGAGCAGCTTTGCTGGTTAGCTTGTCCATTTGAAAAACTTTTATTTGGGACAGGCAAAATATAACAAAGTCCAAAATCCATTGAACTGATCAAACTCTGCAACAGTTAACCAGAGTAGCTTCTTCTTCTCTGCCCCTAATTTTGGAGCAATGCTCTGTAGGTGATACCTTGAATGATCCTTGGCATTGAAGAACTGCCATCCAACATTTTATTTCCTTTTTTCTTGTCCTTCTCAGGAACCATAATAAGTGATTTCCAGAACCAAGGAGAGGTTGGGTAAGAGAAGGTACTGGGAAATCTAATTGACCCAAATTAGTTTGTGAATGTACCAATGTGTAACAATGAAGGCCAATATTATGTACATTTCTGATGCACCATAAATGATCTTAAGGAAAGAAAGAAAAAGAATAATATGATTAACATAACCTCAAAATAATCTGATCTTCAGGAAAAGCCTTTTTAAAAGTAGTTTATGCCTACCTATCAGACTTTTTACCTGTTTATCAAGGATTTGTCTTATGAGGACATGTATTTCTTTAAAAAAAAAAATCTTGTAAACCAAGCAGGGTGTGGTGACACATGCCTTTAATTCCAGGGGTAGGAGGCCAGCCTCAGCAATTTAGAGAGAACTTGTGGCAAAATAAAATAGAACTGGGGATGTGGCTCAGTGGTTAAGCATCCCTGGGTTGAATTCCCATACCTAAACAAACATCCAACAAATCATGTAAACAATCTTTTTTTTTTAACCTAAGTAATTGAGATTGACCACGAAGTCATTACTTCAAGTCACCAGTGGCACAAATTCATAATGAATTTGAACTTGAGTTTTAAATACCAATGAATCATGCCAAAAATGACTGTCCTAACAGAATGTGTGGACTTTCATCTGTGGATGTGCAGAAATTTATGTATCTTCAGGTCTATAAAGAATTTCAGTAACCTCATGAGTCAGTTTTTCTACAATCTAATTTCAAAAGTGCTAATCTCTTGCTGTAGTATATGGGCTAAAAAAAAAATTTCTAACTCCATTTTCAACCTGTTATGGCTTCCTAGAGATGCTGAGACTATGTAATTTTATTTATTCAACCTATTAACTACTTTAAAAAAACAATAACAACTCTGAAGGGATTTTAATTAGGGAACTGGTTGGAAATAGTGCTGTATCCTTCCTATCCTGGTAGAGCAAGAGAAAGAGGTTCAATTGTTGCTTTAAAAGA